AAAAAAAAAATTGCAAGATAAAAGTAATTACCCTTTTTAAAAAAAAACATCATTATGCAAAAAATAAATCTTTGATTAGCAAACCTGGGTTATTAAATCCTATGTTTGGTAAAACACACTCGGAAGAAACTAAAAAGCTTATGAGAAGTAGAAAAGAAAAATATCCTAACGGTGTAGGTATCCATGACCTAGATAACCATTTGATAAAAAGTTTTGATTATGGTTCAGATCTAGCCTTTTATTTAAGTGTATCTAAGGTCACTGTGAGTAAGTATATTAATAATGGTTTGGTTTTAAGGTAAATACTACTTAAAAGTCAATCCTTTTAAGGAATAAGAAAAGTATTTACTGATAATTTACAATTTACGAACTCGTCTTTATCCCGGTGTGGTTGTTCTTCTTATTATAAGTTAAATTTACCTTTAAGTAATAAGGGTTATAATTATCTATCATCTGGTCGTAGATATTATTATACAAAATCTACTCCACAACCCTTTAGTTCTGACCTTCTCCCTCAGCCAATTTTTACTCTTGATTTAAATAACGGAGATATTAAATCACATAAAAGAATATTAGAAGGTAAAGGCGGTATTTATTCCTTGGTTAACACAGTTAACGATAAGCGGTATATTGGTAGTGCAAAAGACTTTTTTATAAGACTTAATGTACACTTAAAGTATAAAAATAATTCAAACGCTGCTTTACAAAAAGCATTTGTAAAATATGGTTTCGCTAAATTTAAATTTTGTATCTACGAATATTTTTCATATGAAAGTAGGATTATAAGCCACAAATCTTTAACTGAACTATAGACTAGTTATTTGTAAAAATTTAAATTAGATACTCTTTATAATTTTAGTCTTATCGCCCATAACAATATAGGATATAAGCATACTAACGAATCTAAGCTTAAGATTAGTAAACCAGGGAATTTAAACCCTATGTTTGGAAAAATACATAGCGAAGAAACCAAAGATAAGATGAGGAAAAGAAAGAATAAATATCCCTTAGGAGTAGGTATTTTTGACTTAGAAGGTAATTTAATTTCAAAGTTTGAAAATAATGTTGAGTTAGCTAAATATTTTCAAATATCTAAGATTACAGTAGGAAAGTATTTGAATACTAACCTTATATATGATAACTCTTATTATTTTAGATCTATAATATATTAATTTATTCTTTAAGTAAAAATGAAAAAAGAACGGAAAAAAGATTGATGTAGTAATCGAAAGGAATCAGAATTAGTTAGTGGTTTTATGACAGAGCATTCTGCTGTTATTTTTGTATTTTTCTTTTTAGCTGAATATGCTAGTATAATACTTATTTGTATTTTAAATAGTATTCTATTTTTAGGTGGTTACTTGTTTGATTTTAATTACTTTTTATACCCTTATTTTTACTTTTTACAATTTATTGCAGGAGACAGTTATATGTATCTAACAGATAATGGATCTAACTTTAATGTTATTGACTTTGATAACTATCGTTCAATTATAGGAACAGCTATAAGTGGTATAGTTATAGGAGTTAAAACTTGTGTAATGGTATTTGTGTTCATATGAGCTAGAGCTTCATTCCCTAGAATTCGTTATGACCAACTTATGTCTTATTGTTGAACTGTTTTATTACCAATCGTAATCGCTTTCATTATATTAGTCCCATGTATACTATATAGTTTTGAAATAATGCCATGTAATATACCTTTATTATAGTTTATAAACAGCTATAAAGTCTGTAACTTTATACGATATAAACGATTTCTGCCTCCCTTTTAGCCCTCTTTATCCCAAAACCCTAATATTGTATAGTAAATACAATATGGAAATACATTAGTGGAGGGAAATAGAGGAATACTATTCCCCCTATTTCCCTCCACCGCTGGTCTATGATATAGTATTTAGCCAGACTGAAATTTATATTTGTAAAGTAACATTATTTGGTTCATATTAACCTAATAATAAACCTTACCAGTAAAGAAAGAAAAATACAGTTATTTACTTCTGTAAATTAGATTATTATTTTTTGAATTTATATAACATACTTTTTAATCTAATTTTTAAAAAACTATATAGTTGTTCTATTTGAAAGCACATAATAAACCGTATATCCTTATCTTTAAGATAAGGAAATCAACTAAACAGTACAACAAGTATAAGATTAGTCTCTACCATAAATAAAGGTAATAGTATAGTTGTATGTTGATCTGATGTTTCATTAGCATATCTAAGGCTACTTGATGTAGAACCCAGAACCTCTTGAGCTTCATTATTAGATACCTTTAGGTCATGACAGAAGGCATTTACTTCAGCTTTACCTGTAGCATGAGCTGCTTTAATACTATCAGCACCACGTGGATAGGTACCAGTTAACCAAGCACTTCTGTTGTCAAACTCTTGCATATCACTCTGAGCCCCATACAAGGCATTGTTACAATGAACTTTTACGTTCATAGGCGTTCTAATTGTATCAGCCTAATAAATACCGTCTGCCTAGAATTTGCCTCGTAAAGTAGAACCTATAACTTTAGAGCATGAAACAAAATCAGATACGGGATCTGGAGTAGAACTTGTCATAATATTAATTGATTTATTATTATTATTAAATGATAAACATCCTCCTAAAAGAAGAGATAATGGTAAAATGTTTTCATGTATATAACTAGAGAAAGTGATATACAACACTATTCCTGTAGTAATGTATAATGCATAAGTTGTTACAGATCCTGTGTTAAGCTTACTAATATTACTACTTATATTCAATAGTCCTTTTTCAAGTCCATATGGTCCTATATACTCCACAGATCCCTTATCTAAAACTTTAGTAGTTTGTCCACCAAGTTTTAATACGATCCCCGTAACGAATCTATTATAAAATAGCTCTATTAAGAAACGTTGGTTAAAGAAACTGAATATATTATAACCTGTTCTAGATAGTTTAAAAGTAATTAATATACTAGATAAAAATTCAGATAAAAGAATAGCTAGTACACTTAATGATGTAGTAAATATTAAAGGTAATAACTTAAACAGAGTTGCTACTCCAAATTCAGTGTCTAACATAATTTCATGACTAGGATGTATGAATAACGCATTATCTGAAAAGAATCCAGAACCCAACCCTATAAACATATCTTTTGTTACAAACCCAAAGAAGATAGAAAATACCGCTAAAATCATTAAAGGTAAGCTCATAAAGATATCACCTTCATGTGCATTTTTATAGTTGATTAAAGGTCCATTAGGATTTGTTAAGAATGTTAAATATAGTACTTTTACAGAGTATAATGTAGTAAACATTGCTCCTATAGTAGCAATTATATACACAACTGTACCAGAAAAATTATATTGACCATATGCAGACTCAAGAATAAAATCTTTAGAATAGAAACCTGTCATAAATGGGAAAGCTACTAAACTTAAAGAAGCGATAAGCATTACTGAATAAGTTAGCGGTAAAAATGGTCTTAGTCCCCCATATCTTCTAAAGTCTTGGTTATCCGCTACAGCATGAATAACCGCACCGGCTCCTAAGAAAAGAAGTGCTTTATAAAAGGCGTGATTAACTAAGTGGAATAAAGCTATACCATAAGAAGATAAACCTACAGCTATTACCATCATACCTAATTGCAAAATTACTATCATAAATAATATGACGTAAGTTGGACCATTTCTTTATTAATCTTTATATTTTTCTCACTTATCTTTAAATATAACTCATTCATTAATTTTTACAACATCATTTTCTTTTTTACTTAGTCTAACTAAATAAAATTGTTTTATTAGATTAACTCTTTTCATTTTTTCTGTCCTTAAAGGATATTTATTGAAATAATTGTTTATCAAATTAAATAATTCAGTTTTTCTATAGATAACATATTTAAATGCTTCTATTTTAGGACTAGAAATATCAACTCTTCCTCCATATATATCAATTAAAGGTTCCAATAAGTATTTATTTTTTTGAGATATACCAATAAAAACTTGAGCTGAAGATTCACTGTAATATACTGAACCATCACTATCAATAAACCCGCTAAGTCACCCATCATTAAAAGTAAGATTGTTTGCATACTTTAATTCTATATTAAATTTCAAACAAAGCTTATTCATTTGTAATAAACGTGTAGGATTTCGGATGAATCCGTTTACATCGTTTATTAATGTAATTAAACCTGCTCTATTTCTTAATTTATATTTAAATGCGTATGCATTAGAAATTTGTTTAACAGATCCTCCATATTTATGTTGTATTAAATATAGAACTTTTTTATCTCTTGCATCCATAGTTATTTCACAACTATTATACCCATTTTTAGATAATAAAAAGTAACCATCTCCATCTATTAATCCAGCTAATCACTGTCTAAATGCAAGATCTTCTGAATCTGAAAATTTGTTGGCTAAAGTGCTAGTGTTTACACTTGTAGACATATTCCTACTAAAAATTAAACAATATCTATTCTTTTTTTTTAGAAAAGGTGAACAAATAGTTTTACTTTGAAAATTCTGTTGTTTAAAGATAAGAGGTTTTGTTATTAAGTTCGTTAATTTTAACTTAATAAAGACTAATATCAAACGTATGGCCTCTGAGATTCCTACTAACTTACTAATAATCTCAAATTTTCATCTTATTAGCCCGCATAGAATATACAGGTGTAACCTTATAATGGTAGATGAATTAAGAAACTTGAAATTATAGTGACTATAGAAATAATCACGAGCTTTGGTTATCTGCGAATTGGCTATAGTATTTTTACCTATAGCTTCTACGCATATAGTTTGATGATTAAATATACTTAAATGAGTAGTATATTTTTGAGCCAATTGACTCATAGTAGAATAAGCAATAACTTTTTTAATATCTTGTTGATATAACCCAATAAGAGAACTAAACACTGTTGTGATAGCACCTAATCATAAACATATCATTAATACGATTGAACTGTATTCTATTAAAGGAGATGAACGCATTAATAGATACACTCCTGCAGTAACCATAGTGGCAGCATGTATTAGTGCACTTACCGGTGTAGGACCCTCCATGGCCATAGGTAATCACGCATGAAGTCCTACTTGAGAACTTTTAGCCATTGCTCCTATAACTAGACATATACCTACAATAGTTACAACATTTTCGTTCATGTAAGGAGCTAATGAGAATACAGTAGCATAATCTAAATTACCAAACGCTCATAATATGGCAAACATACCTACAGTTAAGAAACAATCTCCTACTCTGTTAGTTAAAAATGCTGAAAGAGAGCTTTGATTTGCTGCTATTCTAGATTTTCAAAAAGAAACTAAAAGATAAGAACAAACCCCAACACCTTCTCAACCTACAAACATTAATAAGTAGTTATCTGCTGTAACTAATATAAGCATCATAAATGTGAATAAGCTTAAATAACTAAAAAATCTTTGGATATGCATAAATATCAAATTTATCCTTCAATTGATTTATAAAATGATTATTAACAATGGTTAAATATCTTCAAGATTTCTACCTCTTTTCATACCAGATTTAATTTCTTTAATAGAATCTATACCCTCAACCGTAAGATGATAACGATTAATCATTAGACTGTGAATTTTGCACCAATCAAGATAATCATATAATTTTATACCTATTATAGGGTTTTTATTAAAAAATGGAATGATTATATCAGTAATATCTTTAAAATCAACAATTGTTAAACTAACTGCAGATTTACCAGCATATTTATATATTTTCCCTGACCCTCAATAATCAACTATTTTTTGCATTAATATAAAATCTCTACTGTGTTGAGATATTCTAAATCTTAATTGTACTCGATTACCTAGTTTACTGTTGGTAGATGGGATACGAACATCGAAGCTTCCTTCAGCGCTTATAAAACCTGAAACTCAATGAGGGTCTAATTTAACATTATCATAATTCACTACAGGTCTTTCAACTGGAACATATCCAGCGAATTCTGATTGTAACGTCTCAGATAAACCTAAATTCATCGACGCTTTTATATTTACTATTTTTTCTAGACTTTCAACTGTAAGATGAGCTTTTTCATTAAAAAGCTCTACCGCTTTTTTAAACAATAAAAAATCTGAGGCTTTTTGCGTTAATAATGGATATTTTTCTAAATGAACAATAAGTTTATTTAAATCCTTAATAGAATCTATTGAATAATTAACTACATCTCTGTTTGAAGTTGAATGAATAGAACCAATACCCCCTAAATATTGTTGCAATAGACATAATATGTTAAGATCTTTTTTATCTAGACCTATTTGAAATTTTAATTGAGCACGTCAACCTAATTTACGAGCTTTATTTCTGTCTATAACAATAGTAAATGAACCTTCCCCATCTATTAAACCAGATCAAGTTCCAGGATTAACAATGATAGAGCTAGAGGTAGAAAATCTTTTTAAATCGTATTGTTTAGATGGGCTTTTGATGGTAGATTTTCAACCCTGTTGCATGTTGAAACCAAGTTTTTTATCTTTATTCCTTTCGAAATCCATTAGAGTACACCTTAAATTTATTAAATCTGGTTTAATAAATCAACTGCCGTCTACTCGTTGCTCTTTTACAGCAACAATTTTAACTATTGCTGACTTAGATCCGCGATTGTCCATTTCGTTTTCACGCATCTTAAGACTTGTTACCATACCTGAGTAATTAATTCAGCCACATATAGTTTTTCAACTATAGCTTGGTATCTTAAGCTTTAGGAGTTCCCCGGAGTTTGACAGTTTACCCCCATAAACGTGTTTTCCCCTTACACGCTCCCGAGGGTCATGACTCATATAACCAATAGAGTAAATATGTACTAAAGAAGAAACAATTAGTACTGGTATAAGCATAGAAACTGTCAG